GGTCATCATAGTGAATTATAAAAGTAACCATAATGACACGCAAAATGCTCCCAGTTACTCTTGGCAGAATTTCTACTGGCATCCAGCACCAACTGAGCTCTACTTCCACATGAGTGATAGTGGCTCCGTCCCTCTAGCCTCCTTCTCCCAGTGTCTCAAGGGTATGGAGATCTCTCTGGGACTTTGAAACCTTACCTTTATTAACCATAGTTTAAGATTTTATACTGAAAAGATGTTACTCAGAAGGAATTCAGTGAGTATCACATCTATAGCCGTGTTATTTTATACTGTTCTGGAAAATGGAGGCTGAAGGTGTTCAAAGGCTTCTACATTACATTCTGAATAGCCCAGTACCTTTGTTCTTAAAATAAATACACAAATTAAAAATAAATAATTGTGTGGGTTCAAACCAGAGGCTTATATTCCTTTTGAGGATATTCACATATGATCAGCTGTTGAAAGAGTTGTGTTTCAGCTGTGCTGAGCTAAGATTTAGTGACAGGGGCACCCAGGGATCAGACTCAAAGGAAGAAACTTAGTCTTTTCCTTAGTGAACAAGAAATGGGTATGGAGACATCAGACTAGATGACACGAAGAGATAAGATGCAGTACCAAGAGTCCTGGATGCTTTCCAGCAGCATGGAAGACTGGTATGGCCAATCTTTAGGCCAAGATTCAAGGAAGAACATTAAGAACAATTGTAAGTTCATTCTTATTTGGCACAGCACATCAGTTTATGCTTATCTTTAACCTGTGATTATTGAAGATGATAATAAAATTTATGCATGCAATTAAAATTAAGCAAGAACTATATTGTTTTGTTGAAAGGAATCTGTAGCATGCTGGGGAAAAAGTAGTCTGGTCTGCCATGGCCAGGGGAGGCTGTTTTTACGTAAGGCTGTATGACAAGGTAAAAAACAGGGAAAACTTTTTGAAGAAGATTTCCTCATCCTCACTTCCCACTCCATATCCTCCCACCTTCCTAAATTACCCTTTTTACATCTCAATTGATGGAAAGACAAAGAAACCACTGTAACCGAGCAGAGCTGCAGAGCGTAGCAAAAATTGCAAGGGGCAAGACTAATAAAGGCAAGTCTGGTCCAGCTTGAATATATGAGGCAAAATAAGCAGAAGAAAGCTGAACATGTACATTGACAATGAAGGACAAAGAGTATTACAAGCACGGTTGCTGCAGTCTGTTAAAGCATTTGCAGCAGACAAAAGATACAAGAAGAATTGGCAAGTAGAATTAATAGAAGAGAAAGGATAAAAAATAGCAAAATTATTAAATTAGTTTTTTCATAATTATTTTAAACAGTGGAGAACATGCTTTAGTATTCTGAGAGTTAGGCACTTGTGCACATCTTTCTCATTGTTTCGAATGAAGCTGAAGAATATGATTAAAAGTCTTTCCTAAATAAGAATATTTTTCTGAAATCAGGCTCAAGACAGGAGCTCAAGTGAGCTCCTTGAACAGGAATTACATTTCCAGACACAGGCCCAGGTTCAGCCATGTGTATGTGTGATGCTATATTTGAAAATAGTGTATGCACGTATCACAGAAGGAGTACTTAATGTGCTTGAAGTTGGCAGCATGCTTGAGCACTCTGTTAGATTGTGGTGAGAGAGAGAAGGTAAAAGCTGTAAAGGAGAAAGAAAATACTTGTGAAAGGTTCAGTCATTTTTCCAGACTGCTGTTACACTGTAGTGTGCTTACTATTAACACTGTAACTTGTTATGTAGACCCTTCAGAGCAGGATTCTGCTCAACTATGCGATATGACTTTGAAATTCAGACTTTGCCATTTCTGGGTCCAGGTAACATTTAAAAAAGAATAACTAGTTTTAATGAGAAAAGATAAATATATTTTTATTTATTTTTCTGAATGAAGGGAGATAGAGGATAGACGGGTAGTTTGACAGCAGATAAGAAGCCCTACTCTCTAGCTTTTTAGGGAACTAAACCCTAAGTTTTAGGAAAAAAAGGCTTAACTTAAAAAATAACCCATTACTAACTGATTAACTGTTAAGAAATATAGTGAGAATGCATTTGGTTTAAACAAATGCATGTCTTGAAAGGAATACATATTTTGGATACAGAAGATACTCAGTTTTGGAGGTCTTGTTGTAAGGATTAAATGCAATATCTTGACTATTGCCACAGTCTTATAGAAAATAATGAGAAATTAAGGAAGACATTTAGGTAAACATTAGAAAGTTTAATTTGATTTCTAAGTTAAACTTATTTGGAATTGAAGAAGCTCAGGTATCTTTCTTACCTCTATCTTTCCTTGTATTTCTGTAAAGTCAAGATCTGAATAACCATTTAGATACTATACAGTTTCAGCTTTTAAATTATTTTTAATTTGTATTTGTTTATAGGCTTTATGTCATTATTCACTCAGTCTAGATATATGACAAGTCTCAAATAAAGAAGACGCTCATGACTTTCTTGCTCTTACACTGCCATTTGGACAGTGTTCAAGTTTAGCTGAATATTAAAACCTTAGGAGGATTATCCAAATGATATCTGTAGATCACTGGTTTTCAACCTGTAGTCTGCCATCTGGGAATCACTGGAT